TGTCTGTCTCTCTCTCTCTGTCTGTCTCTCTCTCTGTCTGTCTCTCTCTCTGTCTCTCTCTCTCTCTCTCTCTCTGTCTCTCTCTCTCTCTCTCACACACACACACACACACACACACACACACACACTCTCTCTCTCTTACAGGTTGGTTGGAATGCTGTACCACATGGGGGTTTCCCTGAATGTCCCCACTTGTAATCAGGAAGTCATCACAACCCAGAGTTTTTCTGCACTTGTATCCTTTCAGGAGAGTAACCTAATAATTTACAGTTCTCTGAAAACTGATATTACACTGGGCAGAACACCAAGACAAACTGGAAGAGATGTATGGCCATTCCCTAATAAAGAAAAAAGTGACAGCAACTTTACTTTAATGTTTTCCTAACTTGGGTATCCCACACACTTTTCCTTGAACTGCTAGTGCATTTCAGTAATGCTGTAGGATTACTTGGCTTAAAATTTTAAGTTAACAAAGTGTTTTGTAAACAGATATTTTTCTCTCTGGAAAGCATTACTTCATAAATAAATCTCTAAGCTGGCCAGAATAATTAATTGAAGTTTGATACGTTGAATCTGTAACGACTTTTTTTTTTTGCATGGGAAACAATTGCCAAAATAGGCAGCTTCTTGTGTGGCACTTAAGTACATGTCAAATAAGGACCAGATTGTATTTTCTATTCCTGTGAACACTTTCTGTTTTGTTTTAAACCACTGATAGTGTGTGGTGCTGAGATAAATTTTCTTGTATTTCTCTTTCCTGCTTGTTGTCCAAATGCTTTGTTTTAAGCCACTTTCCTTTGATTGGTCATGGTGTTTGTCTCTGAAAGACGATAATACCAAAATATGCCAGGCCCCACTCTGGTTCCTTTAACTAGCAAAACTATTCCTTTTATCATCTCTGGACTTTTCTAAAAATATGAAAGACATCTGTCATTTGGTCTTTTCTATTCTCTAAGTAGGGTCTGAAGTTTCAGTAAAAACTTGAGTAATTCCCACAGCAAAAAGATATAGTCTAGATAAAGTAAAACTCAATTAAAATGCACAGATGCTGCAATCAAGACTTTATCTGTTTTCCCGAGCATAGCTGATGAGAGCTGAGTGCCCCTCCTCTCCCGCTTCCCCACTCCGCCCCCGTGACACTAGCTCTGCATATCTCTCACATGGGTGGCCCAAGTGGCCCGTGCTGCCCCTGCCATAACTCTCCTTCAGCCAGGAATGGAGCCAGGGGAAAACCTGGCCCCCTGGATGCCTGGGTAACCTCTTTGCAAGCCTCAAGAGTCTGCATGCATGCCAGAGCAGGCTGGCCATTAGGACTGTGACCATGCAAGTGGACAATGGATGTCCGAGCATCCTGAGTCTGCTCTTTCCAGATCTCATGAGGACTGCTTCGGGATGGGAGAGGCGTAGATTCCAGCAGCACCTAGTAGGGCGTGGTGCTCTCTCACCTGCCCATGTAGGGGTGAGCCCCTGTCCCTGTACATTTGTGGTCTATCTGTCACATAGCCCAGCCTTCCTCCCAGACTGTGGCCCCAGTGTCTAGAATTTAGAAGCCCCAATTTTGCTGAGTAAATAAATTAGTGAATGAGCGAGCTAGTGAGAGTCCCCTGTTAAACCACAAGCACATCCTTGTCTTTTGAGGGCCAGGTGTCCTTGGGTAGTCCTTATGGAGCCAAATTTCCCTTATAAGTTTCTCTGTCTTTATGTCTGTCTTGGATAAATGATGTGGTCAGTGTCACTCGGAGAGCTTGTATTGGCAGACATGGCGTTTATGTGAGAATTCTCTTACTGTAGAAGAAGAAGAAAGTCATGAAAAACACGTCTTTTAGTGACAAAAAGCAGTGTAGTACTTATGCCTTGTTCACGGGAGAGGTTACTAGGACAAGAGTATAAAGAAAAACAGATGTGGCACTTTTGCCTCTTAGGTCCAATCTGGAAGAGACAAATGATAGGTTTTGTAAATTTGTAAATGGTTTTGTGAACAGTTTTTATAAATCACTTTATTCAGTGAATACATATATGATATGAAGTGTGATTGATGTGAAGTGTGATATGATGTGAAATGACAATGAACTGAGAGATGATACATAGGAAACCAACTATGGAAAAGAGGAGTTTGAAGAGCTTGAGGACATGGAAGAGCTTGGCTTGTTAGGTGCCCTGGACAGATGGCTGATGGGCAGGTGGATGAAGCTGTGCAGGAGAGGAAGGGGTGCCACAAGAGAATGGGTGTTAAGACAAGTTCAAGGTCAGATGAGGAAGGGAGCCAGAGAACACGTGAGCAGAGAGGGAGGGGATCACATTGGAGATCTCAGTGCTCCCCTCTGGCAACATAAAAAATGAAGTAAAGGAGTCAAGGAGAAAAGCAAGGGTGGGTGGCAGGCAGCTGCACAAAGCAGAGATGCATCCTCTCTAGCATGGGAGCATCAAGAAGGGTCCTGCACTGAGGAAGGTGAAGGACCTCGAATCTAGTTTTCTGGAGTGCTGTCAAGGTGAACGTGGAGAAGGGAGGTACACGGGAGGGGTTGGGAGCTCAGAGCAGAGGCCGGAGCTGCAGCCCAGCATGTTGCCTCACTGGCACAGCACTGGCAATGAAACTGTAGACGTGGCTGCACTCTCCTAGAGAGAAAAAATAGAGTCCAAGACACATTTAAGAACTTATGTGGTCATGGAATTCTAGAAGAGAAAGATCAACAAAGTAAAAGTGAGAGAGAGACCAGAGACATGGGGGATCACAGACTCACAGGAAGAGAGTTCCAAGGCATTTGGAGTTTTGAGAGCACAAGGAAGACCAACTTCTTAAAATCCACCCAATGGGACAGACAGCAAAAAGGCAGTGGGTGACGCCTTTGAGGGTTCTTTCTGTGGAAAGAAGTCTGATCCAGACTAAAGGAAATGGAAAAAAACCAAGTCGGCGAGTTTAGCAACGCCTTCTGAGGAAAGTCACCACTTCCATTCAGCCCCCTTTTCAGTTGCCTTGAGCCCAGTGTCCAGGACATTAGCCAAGTGGTGGGGCCCTAACGTATCCAACACTCATCATGTAGGCTGTCCAAGCTTCTGGCGCTTGGGCTGACTGCTGACGGAAACAGCTGCCCTGTGAGCTACCCTGTGTCACACACCTGCTTCACTGGTGCAGAAACTTCAGTCAGTTAGGAGAGGTTAGACACACCTTGCCAAAGTCACGGAGCTGGCAGTGAGCCAGGATTTGACCAAAGACATCTGGCATCAACTCGCACTGTCTTTTAACAACTACAAGGTCTTGCTAAATGAAGAGGTCTCCCTGGCTCATTAATGAAACCATTTAGGCATTTTGCTGTGAAAGGGGAGCCTTCCTGTGTCTGCATGATTACGGCATGAAAGTGCCGAATCATGCATTTGTGCACTTAAACTCTCCCATCAGCTTTTACGGCCTGCAATACCAACCTCTCTATAACTTCTTCTTCCTCACCCCTCTCTGAGTTTTGCTGAAGTGACTGTTTTCAAGTCATTTGAATATTACATCGTGTGCTGAAGTATAATTATTTTTTATTCTTACTCAGAAAATTTTAATCCTGGGACTTAATAAATCTGTGTGTAATTGCAGAATTCTTTCAACCAAGGATGAAAAGAGAACTGAGTTCTATAAAGATGGGCAATAAGGGCTGGAAGCCTTCTTGGCCAACATATGTCCATAACAGTTCGTTGTCTAAGTTGTGCTGTATTTCATCCTTAAAGGTTCCAGTGCTGTAATACTCTGGTGCTTTTCATAGCATTGCCCATTAACATATGATGGCATTAACATTTGTTCAGTCAATAAAATCTATTTACAGTTTACTGGTGGGGGCTGTGCAGGTGGCACAGGTTTTAAGCAAAACGGCTCTAGAAGGCATAGAAGGCATTTGCTGAGAGTACTTCTCATGACATGGTGCGGCTTTGTGTAGGAGACCAGTGTTTCAGATTCTGCTTTCAAAATAAGGAACGAATTGAGAGATAATTGCTGTGTAGTGTCCGAGCAGATTACCATTTGGGCTCCCATCTTTACTTACTAGTTTACCTCCAGCCTGCTGCTAAATACCCGTAGTGGATGTTTCCGTAGGGCTGCATTTTGGTTCATAGGAAGGGGATTAGTGGTGCTTGCCCAAACTCTGGAGACTCAAATCAGTGTTCTGCTTGAAAAGACTGCAGGCAAATAAAGGGAACACCTCTGTTCCTGGGTTTTCTCAAAACTGAGGAATCTCCTGAGCAAGATTCCAGCCATGGTCTCGAGAGCCCTTTTGTGTAGTACACAACCTTGTGGCCCATCACATGTCCTCACCCTGGCCAGAGGGGACAGGAAAAGGCTTGTGCTCAAA